ATTGCAGAAAACATTAAGCCTTCTATATCAATAAATTGTTGATATAGAATACCGTCATCGCTGTCATTAATGAATTGGGTTATATTCATATATTGATTACAATCATGGGTGCCACCTAAATATGCAATTATTTTGAGATTTAATACGCAAAAAAGGGTTGAGATTTTAAAATCTAACTTACTAGTGTTTGCAAAATGGCAACTAATACTTGTTTTTTGGAATGCAGAAAAAAAAGCAACTAAAAAGTAAAATATTAATAATTTTGTTCATATTTTAATTAACGCCAAAGTAAATCTTAACTATGAATATTACTTGGAACAGGGATAGAGTTTTCTTCGGCTAAAGAATTCTGAATGACAGGATTATCATCATAAATATCCCAAATTATTCGCCAAGTATATCCAAGTAAAGCAATTAAAAGTAATATTAACACAAAATTTTTCAATACGAATAATGATGTTGGTTCGGTCTTGCGATATTTTTGAAACAAATTTTCAAAGATCATTTTATACGTAAGATATATTAAAAATAATATTTGATTTTTTCACTACTAACAAAACAATTTATTTATAAAAGAAATATTTTATTATCGATAAATATTTTTTTATATAAATGTATAACGCAAATTAGTAATACTGTAATACACAAGTACAAACTTTACAAAATTCTGTGCATTTGTTTTATCATCCGAATTTGCAAAATCGTAGTTAGACTATTGTTATTAATCCGAATTAATTGAATTAATTGTAATGCCATAGCAGGAATAATAGGAGAATAAGGTATCAACATATTTAGATCTTGATGTTACATGTATATAATTGATATCTAAATACGGAAAAAAAATAATGAAAATTTCATAGATCAGTAAAACTTGCACGGTGTAACCAAAATTGCAGAATTTTGGGCACCTATACACCACCAATAATCAATAATTGTTGTCTAATATATATGTATATATATATATATATCATCGTCAAATCATTATTAACAGTTAATCTTCACTGAAAGTTAAATATCATAACATAAGTATGGCACTGAGTGAAATATTTCGAAAAGATCGTAAGACTGAACCTATGTCAGTCTTTTTGCTACGACTTATCGTAGCAACACTACTTTTAATTATCTTACTTGGATACTCCTTATTTTTAATTTTGGATATTTATAATGATCATCCCGCAATTCAAAGCTCTTTTACTGAAGAAAATTCGTTGCCTGTTCCAGGTAAATTCAAGCTCTTGATGCCATGATAATCTAATGCTTAATAAGTAATAATCTAATTTACAATTTTTATTGACGAATTTATAGTGTTAATGTTTTTAAACATTCCTGTTAAATCACATATAGAATGTTATTTCACATATGCTGGTAAGAATTAATGTTCGCGCTTATATACCGTATAATTACTTACTCTTTCTTTCCTTCCTTATTTTAAAATTAATAAGTTAATAGTACCCGTGAAAATAATAAGGCGTGCACTCAATATGTAAGACAGCCTGTATTGAACAACACCTCTAATTATAACGGTTACTTTCAAACTAGTGGAGATTTATTCTTTTCAACAAGTTCTAATGAAAGCCTAAAAAATATTGGAATTACGATCTATATTGATGATGCTAAATATAATGCGAGTGACCCATCAATGTCTGTAAATATGCTTGCAATTGATTCAGGTCTGACTTTTTTTTAAAAAAAATTTAAGTCTATTATAAATTGAATTAAATTTGTTTTCAATGAATACAGAACTTTATAATACTTATGGCTCTAAATTACTTGAAAATCCAAATTCGTTTTTTTTGGATTCAATAGTTAAAATAAACACATATGAATTATCACCAAATCAAGTAAGTTTTTACTTTAAAATATAACGCTACATACAATATATATTATCTTTGTAAAATTAATTCCTTTTTTTTTTTGCTAAACAGTCCTACAATGTTCAAATTACAAGAAGTATAAAACAACTTATGTCACAAAGCTGGAAAAATTATTTCGGATTTGCACCTGAACTAGAAAGAATACCTTATATTACTTCCACGATTGGTATTATTTATAAAATTGCTTTTTAAAAGAAGTAGTAAAAACCATTAACTATTATTAATTATTTATTATAGAATCTACTCTTATTTCAAATACCACGGGGACTCAAACATTATTTTCCACGATAAATTTCGAACCACAATCGTTTATAGTCCAAGTTGATACAGATCAAAGGTATAATAAAATATGATTCGAATTTATTAATGCTGATATATTTAATATTATTATCATTATTGTTATCATCATCATTATTATTGTTATTATCATTATTATTATTGTTATCATCATTATTGATATTGTTATTATCAATAATTATTATTATTGTTATTATTATTATTATATAATCATTAATATTCTGGTTTTTTTTTCGAATTTATAAAGGCTTAAAAATGTAAGCAAATTAATTTTTAAAATATCCTAAATTTAAACTACGAAATTTACTTTTTTTTAATTTGTAGGTTTTGAATTCTCTCGGATTATTTGGCGGCGCCTTTGGACTAATTACAAGTTTTTATACACTACTTTTTGGTACGATTATATAATATTTTTTATTATATTCTACTTTTCTTTTTCGAATAAGCAATAACTTGCATTAATTAAAATTTATCATTTTCTTAGGTACCGGTGTTATTAAGCCATGGGGTTTTGTTCAAAGACATCTTTTCAAAGTTAACAAAATTGTGCAAAATAAATTGGTAAATACTCTAGAATCAATGCCATTTATTAGTCATTTAACTCATGATGCAGATAATTTTAAAGATGATCTATCAGTTGAAAAACTTGAAAAAAGATTAGATTTGTTACAATTATTTTTAAGAGATTATGTAGTAAACGTGCAATATTTAGAAAAAATTCAACAATCCGAACAATGACTAATAGTGAATTCGATAGCAACAAATAATAACTAATATTTTTTTTTTATATAATTTAATGCAAATTTTTAGAAATTTTAAACAATAAATAAATTTAATCGCGTAGTATTTATTACTTTATTCTTTTAAAAATGAATTTTTTTAACTTTTTGTCATCACAGAATAATAATGCGCATATAAACATCATTCCATCTTCGATATTAATAGAGATCACTTTAAAAATCTCTATAACGTATAGAAAGTGAGCGTTGAAACACAATGAACCTATTCTTAAATTAAATTTAACACTTTATTTTTCAATGCATGAATAATAAAGTGGATGATTCTTGGTTAGTAAACGACATGACCAGAAAGAGCTTATTACTGTCATATCTTTTTCTTTAACTGACCAATTGTCAGATCATTTATTCCTTTCAAAATATTATTATTCTAGAACGTTCAAATTGCAGCTCCGCATCAAAAGAGGCTGTAGAACATTTTTAATTTTATATAATTAATTCTTCAGATTATATTCATGTACAATATTTTTTATATTCTAAAGGTTCAAATCGATTAATATAAAATTACATATTGTAAAATTTTACATAAAATTAAAATACTCTATTGCCTCCTTTTTCTGTGGGGTGTCAAACTCATTATTTATTTTGCATATTGTTTAAAATACTATCAAATCCCTTAAATGCAGTTCGTTTGATCAAGTTTTAATAGCATGCATTTTTAGAGTGAACAATGAAAAAAGGCTAGAAAAACTAAATTTATGGGGATCATACATTAATGTATTTGGGCTAACGTGGGCTAACGTTGGCTAACGTTTAAAGCTGCATCAAAGAAGGTACTGCATTTAGGGGCTTTATTTCGAGGTCTCCTTTCATAATATATGCAGTAATATAACTTAGGGATGTTATTCAGTATAATAATCATGTATATCGATATGTACAAATAATCCAATTTGGGGAATCTTTCATTAGTTGAGTGTACTCGATCAAGAGAGACCATATCCATCTAAGGAAATTATGTTATATGACTTGAAACTTGTTTTTTTTCTGTACAGCTTGTGTAGTGTTACGAAAATTTTTGT